TGTTTCTGTGTCCCATCTCTGGAACATCCCGTCTTTGTCCACCTTGTCTATTCCGTGCAGTATTATATATGCTGTTATCATGTCTCCCCTGACCCTCCTGTCCTCCAGTGTCATCAGGCCGATTTCCCTTAACCTTTCTTCGTTGTTGCAAACCTTTGAACTTTCTCTAATTTCTTGATGTGCTTGACCAAGTGTGGATTCCAAACTGGTGCTGCATACTCCAGTATGGGCCTGACATAAATGGTGTACAGAGTCTTGAACGATTCCTTACTGAAGTATCGGAACGCTATCCTTAGGGTGGCCAGACGCTCGTACACTGCAGCATTATCTGAGTGATGTGCACCTCAGATGTGCTCGGTGTTATACTCGCCCCCAGATCTTTTTCCTTGAGTGAGGTTTGCAGTTTTGGCCACCTATACTATACTGTGTCTGTGGTCTTCTTTGCCCTTCCCCAGTCTTTATGACTTTGCATTTGGTAGGGTTAAACTCAAGGAGCCAGTTGCTGGACCAGGCTTGTAGCCTGTCCAGGTCTCTCTAGTTCTGCCTGATCCTCGACCGATCTGATTCTCCTCATTAACTTCACATCATCTGCAAACAAGGACACTTCTGAGTCCATCCCTTCCGTTATGTCGTTCATGTGTGTGTGTGTGTGTACTCACCTAGTTTAGGTTGCAGGGGTCGAGTCCAAGCTCCGGGCCCCGCCTCTTCACTGGTCGCTACTAGGTCACTCTCTCTGAACTGTGAGCTTTATCATACCTCTGCTTAAAGCTATGTATGGATCCTGCCTCCACTACATCACTTCCCAAACTATTCCACTTCCTGACTACTCTGTGGCTGAAGAAATACTTCCTAACATCCCTGTGATTCATCTGTGTCTTCAACTTCCAACTGTGTCCCCTTGTTGTTGTGTCCCATCTCTGGAACATCCTGTCTTTGTCCACCTTGTCAATTCCTCTCAGTATTTTGTATGTTGTTATCATGTCTCCCCTATATCTCCTGTCCTCCAGTGTCGTCAGGTTGATTTCCCTTGACCTCTCCTCGTAGGACATACCTCTTAGCTCTGGGACTAGTCTTGTTGCAAACCTTTGCACTTTCTCTAGTTTCTTTACGTGCTTGGCTAGGTGTGGGTTCCAAACTGGTGCCGCATACTCCAATATGGGCCTAACGTACACGTTGTACAGGGTCCTAAACGATTCCTTATTAAGATGTCGGAATGTTCTGAGGCTTGCTAGGCGCCCATATGCTGCAGCAGTTATTTGGTTCATGTGCGCTTCAGATGTGCCTGGTGTTATACTCACCCCAAGATCATTTTCCTTGAGTGAGGTTTGTAGTCTCTGGCCCCATAGACTGTACTCCATCTGCAGTCTTCTTTGCCCTTCCCCAATCTTCATGACTTTGCACTTGGTGGGGTTGAACTCCAGGAGCCAATTGCTGGACCAGGTCTGCAGCCTGTCCAGATCCCTTTGTAGTCCTGCCTGGTCTTCGATCGAATGAATTCTTCTCACGTCCTCTGCAAACAGGGACACTTTGGAGTCTATTCCTTCCGTCATGTCGTTCACAAATACCAGAAACAGCACTGGTTAGTTACCATTTGGTCCTAGGCACATGTCGATTAGACACTAGGCCTGTTGTATGTGCATACGTGCGCGTGTGTGTGTATGTGTATGTGTGTGTATGTGTGTGTGTATGTGTATGTGTGTGTATGTGTGTGTATGTGTGTGTGTATGTGTGGTGTGTGTGTGTGGTGTGTGTGTGGTGTGTGTGGTGTGTGGTGTGTTGTGGTGTGTGTGTGTGTGTGTGTGTGGTGTGTGTGTGTGGTGGTGTGGTGTGTGTGTGGTGTGTGTGTGTGGTGTGTGTGTGTGGTGTGTGTGTGTGTGTGTGTGTGTGTGGTGTGTGTGGTGTGGTGTGTGTGTGTGTGTGTGTGTGTGTGTGTGTGTGTGTGTGTGGGTGTGTGTGTGTGTGGGGTGGTGTGTGTGTGGTGTGTGTGTGGTGTGTGTGTGGTGGTGTGTGTGTGGTGTGTGTGTGGTGGTGTGTGTGTGTGGTGTGTGTGTGGTGTGTGTGTGTGTGGTGTGTGTGTGTGTGGTGTGTGTGTGTGTGTGTGTGTGTGTGTGTGTGTGTGTGTGTGTGTGTGTGTGGTGTTGTGTGGTGTGGTGTGGGGTGTGTGTGTGTTGGTGTGTATGTGTGTGTATTGTGGTGTGTGTGTGTGTGTGTGTGTGTGTGTAGTCACCTATTTGTGGTTGCAGGGGTCGAGTCTTAGCTCCTGGCCCCACCTCTTCACTGGCCGCTATTGGGTCAGTCTCCCTGCACAATGAGCTTTATCATACCTCTGCTTAAAGCTATGAATGGATCCTGCCTCCACTACATGTATGCGTGGAGCCCCAGACCGACATAATGAGATTAGTCACGAGGGAGCATTCACCAAATTCAACTTCAATAACAAAGACAAAGTGGGACCAAGTAAACCAAGTCCTAACCGATATAAGCTGGGAAGATATACTAAGCAACACAGACCCCAACTTATGCCTAGAACAGATTAACTTGGTGGCACTCGATGTATGCACAAGGTTTATTCCTCTAAGAAAAAGGAGGAGTAGATGTAAAATAGAAAGAGACAGGCGCTCCCTTTACAGGCAACGGAAAAGAATAACAGAGCGGCTAAAAGAGGTCAATATATCTGAAATGCGTAGGGAGACACTGGTCAGAGAAATTGCAAGCATCAAACTTCAGCTAAAGGAATCTTATAGGAGTCAGGAATCGCGGGAAGAACTAAAAGCCATAAATGAAATCGAAAGAAACCCAAAGTATTTCTTCTCCTATGCCAAATCAAAGTCGAGAACAACGTCCAGTATTGGGCCCCTACTTAAACAAGATGGGTCCTACACAGATGACAGCAAGGAAATGAGTGAGCTACTCAAGTCCCAATATGACTCAGTTTTTAGCAAGCCGCTAACCAGACTGAGAGTCGAAGATCAAAATGAATTTTTTATGAGAGAGCCACAGAATTTGGTTAACACAAGCCTATCCGATGTTATCCTGACACCAAATGACTTCGAACAGGCGATAAATGACATGCCCATGCACTCTGCCCCAGGGCCAGACTCATGGAACTCAGTGTTCATCAAGAACTGCAAGAAGCCCCTATCACGAGCCTTTTCCATCCTATGGAGAGGGAGCATGGACACGGGGGTCGTCCCTCAGTTACTAAAAACAACAGACATAGCCCCACTCCACAAAGGGGGCAGTAAAGCAACAGCAAAGAACTACAGACCGATAGCACTAACATCCCATATCATAAAAATCTTTGAAAGGGTCCTAAGAAGCAAGATCACCATCCATCAAGAAACCCATCAGTTACACAGCCCAGGGCAACTTGGGTTTAGAACAGGTCGCTCATGTCTATCTCAACTATTGGATCACTACGACGAGGTCCTAGATGCACTAGAAGACAAAAAGAATGCAGATGTAATATATACAGACTTTGCAAAAGCCTTCGACAAGTGTGACCATGGCGTAATAGCGCACAAAATGCGTGCTAAAGGAATAACAGGAAAAGTCGGTAGATGGATCTACAATTTCCTCACTAACAGAACACAGAGAGTAGTCGTCAACAGAGTAAAGTCCGAGGCAGCTACGGTGAAAAGCTCTGTTCCACAAGGCACAGTATTCGCTCCTATCTTGTTCCTCATCCTCATATCTGACATAGACAAGGATGTCAGCCACAGCACCGTGTCTTCCTTTGCAGATGACACCCGAATCTGCATGACAGTGTCTTCCATTGCAGACACTGCAAGGCTCCAGGCGGACATCAGCCAAATCTTTCAGTGGGCTGCAGAAAACAATATGAAATTCAACAATGAGAAATTTCAATTACTCAGATATGGTAAACATGAGGAAATTAAATCTTCATCAGAGTACAAAACAAATTCTGGCCACAAAATAGAGCGAAACACCAATGTCAGAGACCTGGGAGTGATCATGTCGGAGGATCTCACCTTCAAGGACCATAACATTGTATCAATCGCATCTGCTAGAAAAATGGCAGGATGGATAATGAGAACCTTCAAAACTAGGGAGGCCAAGCCCATGATGACACTCTTCAGGTCACTTGTTCTATCTAGCCTGGAATATTGCTGCACACTAACAGCACCTTTCAAGGCAGGTGAAATTGCTGACCTAGAAAATGTACAGAGAACCTTCACGGAGCGCATAACGGAGATAAAACACCTCAATTACTGGGAGCGCTTGAGGTTCCTAAACCTGTATTCCCTGGAATGCAGGCGGGAGAGATACATGATTATATACACCTGGAAAATCCTAGAGGGACTAATACCGAACTTGCACACGAAAATCACTCACTACGAAAGCAAAAGACTTGGCAGACAATGCAACATCCCCCCAATGAAAAGCAGGGGTGTCACTAGCACGTTAAGAGACCATACAATAAGTGTCAGGGGCCCAAGACTGTTCAACTGCCTCCCAGCATACATAAGGGGGATTACCAACAGACCTCTGGCAGTCTTCAAGCTGGCACTGGACAAGCACCTAAAGTCGGTTCCAGACCAGCCGGGCTGTGGCTTGTACGTTGGTTTGGGTGCAGCCAGCACTAACAGCCTGGTTGATCAGGCTCTGATCCACCAGGAGGCCTGGTCACAGACCGGGCCGCGGGGGTGTTGACCCCCGGAACTCTCTCCAGGTAAACTCCAGGTAAACATCACTTTCCAAACTTTTCCACTTCCTGACTACTCTGTAACTGAAGAAATACTTCCTAACATCCCTGTTATTCCTCTGTGTCTTCAATTTCCAACTGTGTCCCCATTCTTGTTGTGTCTCATCTCTGGAACATTCTGTCTCTGTCCACCTTGTCAATTCCTCTCGGTATTTTATAAGTCGTTATCGTATTCCCCCTATCTCCCCTGTCCTCCAGTATTGTCAGGTCAAAAATTGCAGGGGTATAAAAAAAAGGGAAGAGGGGAGTTAAAAGTATTTAAAGGAATGCCTTAAATAAGATACGCTAAAATTACACATTCAAAAGATGCCATTGAAATAAAGTGTTCTCTTGTTTATGCACACAATCCAGTACAGTATTTGAAGTTTTTTTTCTATTTTACTAGAGTGAAGGCACTGATAGCCCACCGAGGAGGGTTTGTGGAACTAGTGTGGGATGGTTTTGTCAAGTATACCAAGAGCCTGGAGCTGAAGCAGGACCAGTGGAGGAAACGGCAACAAATTGAGTTTGTGAGACACTTTAATCTAAGCAATGCCCACAAATCAATTGAAAAAATGTTTTAACCAGAATTATACACACAGTTTAATGGGAAACAGCTAAACCCATAGAGATCATACAACACCTGGAAGGCAATCAGGCTCGATCCAAGAAGACAGAGCTTCAGATCCTTGCAACAAGGCCCTGGTGGTTTAGAGCTTGGTACTGATTATAATAATCCTGGCAACAAGAGCCCTTCACCAGTATCAAGATTCCTTAAAAGGTGTTAGCTAGAATGGGAGTAACAATTTCTAGAATAGTAGAATTCCTCTCCTGTCTGGGTTCTAGCATTAAATTTAAGTGGATTAACCTCTAAGCAGATTTTCATATTCACATTAAAATAAAGGCCTACTTTGAGGCGTAATCCTGCCTCTTTAGCTGGTATTACTTCCTTTCTATTGAATGAGTGCAAGAAATTGCCCATTCAACTATTTCAACAACCTGATACTGCACACAAGTCCAATTTAACATCATAGGCATTCCAGTTACTAAAGCACCTTTCTTCTGTTCATTGTCACAACAAGCATCTCCTACATAACACCTGCCATTTATTTTAAATCCATGGAGGAAAAAAATTAAATTTTACCCTATTTCTCTTCTAAAGGGGCAACTGATATATCAGATCATTATTTAGTAAGAGTAAGAGGTAGACGGGACAAGAGGAAAATGGCAACAAGAGAGAGGTGGAAGTGTATAAACTAAGGGAGGAGGAAGTTCGGATGAGATATAAGCAACTATTGGCAGAAACATGGCCTAGTGCAAGTATGAGTAGTGCGAGGGTTGAAGAGGGTTGGAATAGTTTTAAAAATGCAGTATTAGAACGTGGGGCAGAAGTTTGTGGTTATAGGAGGATGGGTGCAGGAGGAAAGAGGAGTGATTGGTGGAATGATGAAGTAAAGGGTGTGATAAAAGAGAAAAAGGTAGCTTATGAGAGGTTTTTACAAAGCAGAAGTGTTATAAGAAGAGCAGAGTATATGGAGAGTAAAAGAAAGGTGAAGCGAGTGGTTCAAGTGTGTAAAAGGAGAGCAGATGATAGAGTGGGAGAGGCACTGTCAAGAAATTTTAATGAAAATAATAAAAAATTTTGGAGTTAAACAAGTTAAGAAAGCCTAGTGAATGAATGGATTTGTCAGTTAAAAACAGAGTAGGGGAGATAGTAGATGAGATGGCAGGAATATTTTGAGGAACTTTTAAATGTCAACAAAGAAAGGGAGGCAGTAATTTTATGCATTGGCCAGGGAGGTATACTATCCTTCAGGAGTGAAGAAGAGCAGGATATGAGTGTGGGGGAGGTGCGTGAGGCATTACGTAGAATGAAAGGGGGTAAAGCAACTACAACTGACAGGATCATGACAGAAATGTTAAAAGCAGGGTAAGATATAGTGTTAGAGTGGTTGGAACTTTTGTTAAATAAATGTATGAAAGAGGGGAAGGTACCTAGGGATTGGCAGAGAGCATGTATAGTTCCTTTATATAAAGAGAAGAGAGGACAAAAGAGATTGTAAAAATTATAGAGGAATTAGTTTACTGAGTATACCAGGAAAAGTGTAAGGAAGGGTTATTATTGAAATAATTAGAGGTAAGACAGAATGTAGGATTGCAGATGAGCAAGGAGGTTTTAGAGTGGGTAGGGGATGTGTAGATCAAGTGTTTACATTGAAGCATATATGTGAACAGTATTTAGATAAAGGTAAGGAAGTTTTCATTGCATTCATGGATTTAGAAAAGGCATATGATAGAGTGGATAGGGGAGCAATGTGGCAGATGTTGCAAGTATATGGAATAGGTAGTAAGTTAGTAAATGCTGTAAAGAGTTTTTAAGAGGATAGCGAGGCTCAGGTTAGGGTGTGTAGAAGAGAGGGAGACGACTTCCTGGTAAAAGTAGGTCTTAGACAGGGATGTGTAATGTCACCATGGTTGTTTAATATATTTATAGATGGGGTTGTAAAAGAAGTAAATGCTAGGGTGTTCGGGAGAGGGGTGGGATTAAATTATGGGGAATTAAATACAAAATGGGAAGTGACAGTTACTTTTTGCTGATGATACTGTACTTATGGAAGATTCTAAAGAAAAATTGCAAAGGTTAGTGGACGAATTTGGGTGTGTGTGTAAAGGTAGAAAGTTGAAAGTGAACATAGAAAAGAGTAAGGTGATGAGGGTATCAAATGATTTAGATAAAGAAAAATTGGATATCAAATTGGGGAGGAGGAGTATGGAAGAAGTGAATGTTTTCAGATATTTGGGAGTTGACGTGTTAGTGGATGGATTTATGAAGGATGAGGTTAATCATAGAAATGATGAAGAAAAAAAGGTGAGTGGTGCATTGAGGTATATGTGGAGGCAAAAAATGTTATCTATAGAGGCAAAGAAGGGAATGTATGCAAGTATAGTAGTACCAACACTCTTATATGGGTGTGAAGCTTGGGTTGTAAATGCTGCAGCGAGGAGGTGGTTGGAGGCAGTGGAGATGTCCTGTCTAAGAGAAATGTGTGGTGTAAATATTATGCAGAAAATTCGGAGTGTGGAAATTAGGTGTGGAGTTAATAAAAGTATTAGTCAGAGGGCTGAAGAGGATTTGTTGAGGTGGTTTGGTCATTTAAAGAGAATGGATCAAAGTAGAATGACATGGAGAGCATTTAAATCTGTAGAAGGAAGGAAGGCAGGGTAGGGGTCGTCCTCAAAAAGGTTGGAGGGAGGGGATAAAGGAGGTGTTGTGGGCAAGGTGTTTGGACTTCCAACAAGCGTGCGCGAGCGTGTTAGATAGGAGTGAATGGAGACGAATGGTATTTGGGACCTGGCGAGCTTTTGGAGAGTGAGCAGGGTAATATTTAGTGAAGGGATTCAGGAAAACCAGTTATTTTTATATAGCCGTACCTGAGTCCTGGAAATGGGAAGTACAATGCCTGCACTTTAAAGGAGGGGTTTGGGATATTGGCAGTTTGGGGGGATATGTTGTGTATCTTTATACGTATATGCTTCTAAACTGTTGTATTCTGAGCACCTCTGCAAAAACAGTGATTATGTGTGAATGAGGTGAAAGTGTTGAATGATGAAAGTATTTTCTTTTTGGGGATTTTGTTTTTGGGTCACCCTGCTTCAGTGGGAGATGGCTGACTTGTTAAAAAATAAAAAAATCTTCTAATAAAATATTAAAGATTGGTCATGGTTTAGGCTCTCAATTAAAGCAGACCTAGTAATAATCCATTAAACAGGCCTTGCCTTAGGAAAAATTGCCAAAAATCAAACATTACCACCACATTACCAGTCACTTCTGGGCTGAAACAGAGTCAAATCCTCTCCATTTCACTAGTATATCTTTATTTCATCATTTGATACTAAAGAAATAGCCAATAAAACCATAAAAACCACCCTAAAACCATGCCTCAAATTTTGTTGTAAATCATACTGAAGGCTAGAGGTTAGCCATTCTCATGAGGTAACTCTGGGGCAGGATTTTTTGTTGTTCACACCCACCTGAAACCCATTCTTTCATGTCTAGGCTAAAGTTTACTGGTTACAGCATAACTGAGGGTGCTACAATTAAGACTGAGATCTACATTCGAGACAGTGAAAAGGTTAACTGTAGGTTCTGCAAATATGTAGAATTTGGGTGAAATATGTAACTTGATTTCCCATGCCCAAATTTCTTATGAACTTAGGGTAATTCTCACTAATACCATTAAGGTTAAGGAAATATTCAAGGATAACATCTCATATAAAAAATGAACCGAAATCTCGAACAAAAAATATTGTACTGAAGACATTTAATAACATTCACAGTTCCTGGTTTTATGGGGGAAGGGGCACACAACTATCTCCATATATTTGTCAATTAAATTTAAATTTTTATTACACCTACGGTTAACAAATACCTGACAACTGATACACAATTAAATCAATTCATGGAATTTATTTCCGAGCCAACACTAAAAGACAAACACTGAAGAATAAGGTGTGCAGAACAGTAACCTGTTACAGCTTGATTAGCAAGAATTTTTTATTTTTTGTTTCACGTACCAGCTGCCTCCCACCGAGGCAGAGTGATCCAAAAAAAAAAAAAACTATTTAGCTTTTCTTTTTACATTTAGTAATTTATACAGCAGGAGTCACTAGCCCCTTGCTCCTGGTATTTTAGTTGGCTTTTATGCTCATGGCTTATGGAGGAAAGATTATTTTCCACTTACCCAAGGATATGAAAGTAAATAAGAACAAGAACTATTAAGAAAATGGAAGATGGGTGTGTATTGTTGGCCCCGTGGATAAAGTAATGGGTACACCGTTCTGTTCTCACAGGGCTGGACGTGGCGAGGAAGGATTCAACACTGTCTAGCCACAGTACTGTTTATGATTCAAAATCATTTATTTAGTGATTTCACTAATACATGTACAGCAGAACCTTAGTACTTGAACTTAATTCGTTCCAGAAGGCTGTTTGAGTGCCGATCTGTTCAAGTACCGAACGAATTTTTCCCAACCAATTTTCTTTTTGGTCGGCTGTTATCTCTAATCTTCGTAGGCCCCATGGTGACTTATTTATACAAATAATATAAAAAACCCTAGGTAGTAGGTTGGTAAACAGCAACCGCCCAGGAAGGTACTACCGTCCTGCCAAGTGAGTGTACAATGAAAGCCTGTAATTGTTTTACATGATGGTAGGATTGCTGGTGTCTTTTGTCTGTCTCATAAACATGCAAGATTTCAGGTATGTCTTGCTACTTCTACTTGCACTTAGGTCACACTACACATACATGTCTTCTTCTTTCAACACACCGGCCGTATCCCACCGAGGCGGGGTGGCCCAAAAGGAAAAACGAAAGTTTCTCCTTTTACATTTAGTAATATATACAGGAGAAGAGGTTACTAGCCCCTTGCTCCCGGCATTTTAGTTGCCTCTTACAACACGCATGGCTTACGGAGGAAGAATTCTGTTCCACTTCCCCATGGAGATAAGAGGAAATAAACAAGAATAAGAACTAGAAAGAAAATAAGAAGAAAACCCAGAGGGGTGTGTATATATGTGCGTTGTACATGTATGTTATGTGAAACCTAAGTGTAAGTAGAAGTAGCAAGACGTACCTGAAATCTTGCATGTTCATGAGACAGAAAAAAGGACACCAGCAATCCTACCATCATGTAAAACAATTACAGGCTTTCGTTTTACACTCACTTGGCAGGACGGTAGTACCCCAAATGAGTGTAAAACGAAAGCCTGTAATTGTTTTACATGATGGTAGGATTGCTGGTGTCCTTTTTTCTGTCTCATGAACATGCAAGATTTCAGGTACGTCTTGCTACTTCTACTTGCACTTAGGTCACACTACACATACATGTACAAGCATATATATACACACCCCTCTGGGTATTCTTCTATTTTCTTTCTAGTTTTTGTTCATTTCCTCTTATCTCCATGGGGAAGTGGAACAGAATTCTTCCTCCGTAAGCCATGCGTGTTGTAAGAGGCGACTAAAATGCTGGGAGCAAGGGGCTAGTAACCCCTTCTCCCGTATAAATTACTAAATTTAAAAGAGAAACTTTCATTTTTCTTTTTGGGCCACCCTGCCTTGGTGGGATACGCCAGTTGAAAAGAAAGAATATAAAAAACACCAAAAAATTCAAAGAAACACGTAATATTTTACAGCAAAGTTCTGGCAGGCCATGTTTGTTTGGTCTAGTGCTGAGCAAACGGTCAACTACCGAGCAATTTTTTTTACCAAAGCATTCGAATACTGAACTGTTTGAGTAGGGAGCTGTTCGAGTACCGAGGTTCTACTGTATATGCATGTGGTAGTGTAACCTAAATGTAAGCTGAAGTAGCAAGAACATTGTATATTCCTGAGAGAGTACTAAACCTATTCAGTCACAAACTGAGAGGTCATTGGGCTTAATATAAAGGGGACCTGCTGATGAGGGGACTCACTGCCATCAAATTATTATAATCAAAACTAGGCGCTAAACTCACAAGGGTCATACAATGCTGAGCACTGCCATCAAAGCACCCCCTAGAATGGAAGACCACCACATTTAACCTTTGGCAAAAAAATCAGAAATGCAGTAGGGAGGGTTGGCCATCTGCAAACATATGTACTGTACCCAAGAGATTTTTCTGTGTGCCAGTAGTATTGAATTTTCAAAAGAAAAGCGATAAACCCGTGGTCATACAGTTGCGTACTGTGAGTTCTCTTTCTGAAAGTCCAAAAGTGCTAATATCACTTAGAATTTTCGACCACGACTGGGTCCTGAAGGCTGGAATTATTTAACTTAGGTTAGGGCTACCAAGCTTTTGAGTGCCCAATCTGAATTTATGAAAAGACAGCAGTAAGGGCTGCTAGCCAAGAAAATTCTCATGTGATATTGATATTCTTACCATATGTTTGCCAACCATGACCTAGGTAAAGAGTTCTTTAAAATGTGTGCTTTTATCATAATCTTTACTTAAAATTGAAGGTATTATGAATATCACAAATTTTAGTAATATTATATTTTATGAATGTAAAAAGCCAACAGCTACCACACAAAATTAACTTAATCCAGTTAAAATTTGGAGTGAAAAATAGCATAAGCAAATACACTTCTAAATTAATAACTTGCCTAATCTGCAGGAGAAATGCCCTAAGAATAGGACTATCTGTTTGCAATTAAACTTATATAGGATTAACATTCCTTATCAACTAACCAAAATCCTCTTAACCTATAGTATTAATATTAATTATCCTTGTGATTAATTATTATTATCACTGAAATTTTGTATTAGGAGTAAGAATATAGTTTGAATTACCAGATATTATTCCTAACCTTACCAGCATATTATTGTTCAAGCATTTCTGGGAGGCAGAGCACTTATTCTTTTAACCACATGTTCCAATCTTGAGCAAACTCGAATCCTAATACAGTATACATGTACATTCGCATGCGCACACACACACACAAAAAAAAAAAAACTTCTGAAATAATTCAGTATCCAAGTAATGCTGATTTATGAAAAGCACCAATTTAGAAAAATGAGGAAAAAAAAATGGGGGGAATTTTTTGAAGATTGGATTTTGAATATAATAAAACTACTTTTGTAAATATATTACAAACTACAAAACCCTATCAATCACATTACAAAAATAGTAAATAATTTTACCATTCACTGAAGTATATAGTTTTAAACCTTTACAATTGGTTTCATATAGTAAATGATGTATAATTAAATTATGATAACCCCATAAAGCCAAACTAACTTATTTACTGATTTAGGTAAATGGATGTACTGTATTACCTTTTGTTCTGCTCTTGCATGAGCTTTTAGAACAGTTGTTGTATTTAGAAACTAGTTCTATATACAGTAATTATATTCCTCCAAAGTAAATTAACATCTCACTTTAATTTTTTTTTACATCTGTTGTTCTTAGCACAAGTCCTTTATTATTGGTGGTTCATAATCAGGCTGGATGGCAGCAGACAATGATGATGCATAAAGGTCCAAACGCTGAGTCATCTGTGGAGCCAGTATAATATTAAAACTAAATATGTTAAGACATCATATGATTATAGTCAAAGGAAAATATTTAATCTGCAAGGGGGTGATACTTCAACATAAAAGCAACAATGTTCAACAAAAGTAATGTGGTTGGGTAACTGCATTTTTTTAGACTACAAGAAGGTATTTGGTAATGTACCCCCACAAGAGGCTACACCAGAAACTTTATGCAGGTGGGAAAAAGTATTTTAGGAAAAGGAAGCAAAGAGAGACTGTCAGAAAAGATATCTGAATGGAAAAGAGTAATTAGTGAGATTTTGCAAGGACTGGTATTAGGACCAGTACTGTTTCTGGTTTATATGAAATAATCCAAATGGGGTTAATTCAGATATATCCTTATTTACTGATGTAAAACTGTAAAGAATACAAAAAGATGAGAAAAGGCTCCAAGGAGTCTGGATGAACGACAAAAGGGGTCATATATGTGTGGTTTCTTTAATTTCCCCTTAGTAAATGCAATGTTTGGAAAACTGGGGGTGGAGCAAAATGACTGGAAATACAGTACAGACTAAAGGGACATGCCCAGCATATCATCAGAGGCTCACATCAGTCAAATAATCCCTGTAGCCAATGCTCATCTGGAAATGTAAGAGCAGTTTTCAGGAATGTCAGTTTCTTTTTGGGACCTTTATATAACACAAGTAAGGCTCATCTTGGAGTATGCAGCATGTTAAACTGAAGCATGCAGAAGTTTGCACACAAAACCTCTTTTACCCCCTCCCTCCAACCTTTCCTAGGCCGACCCCTACCCGGCCTTCCTTCCACTACAGACTGATACACTCTTGAAGTCATTCTGTTTCTCTCCATTCTCTCTACATGTCCGAACCACCTCAACAACCCTTCCTCAGCCCTCTGGACAACAGTTTTGGTAATCCCGCACCCCCTCCTAACTTCCAAACTACGGATTCTCTGCATTATATTCACACCACACATTGCACTCAGACATGACATCTCCACTACCTCCAGCCTTCTCCTCGCTGCAACATTCATCACCCATGCTTCACACCCATATAAGAGCGTTGGTAAAACTATACTCTCATACATTCCCCTCTTTGCCTCCAAGGACAAAGTTCTTTGTCTCCACAGACTCCTAAGTGCACCGCTCACCCTTTTCCCCTCATCAATTCTATGATTCACCTCATCTTTCATAGACCCATCCACTGACACGTCCACTCCCAAATATCTGAATACATTCACCTCCTCCATACTCTCTCCCTCCAATCTGATATCCAATCTTTCATCACCTAATCTTTTTGTTATCCTCATAACCTTACTCTTTCCTGTATTCACCTTTAATTTTCTTCTTTTACATACCCTACCAAATTCATCCACCAACCTCTGAAACTTCTCTTCAGAATCTCCCAAGAGCACAGTGTCATCAGCAAAGAGCAACTGTGACAACTCCCACTTTGTGTGATTCTTTATCTTTTAACTCCACGCCTCTTGCCAAGACCCTCGCATTTACTTCTCTTGCAACCTCATCTATAAATATATTAAACAACCATGGTGACATCACACATCCTTGTCTAAGGCCTACTTTTACTGGGAAATAATCTCCCTCTTTCCTACATACTCCACTATCTTCATAAAAACTCTTCACTGCTTTCAGTAACCTATGCAAATTCTATGCCTTGGGTATCTGTAGGTATGGAATATCTGGAAAAACAGGATGGACATGCAATTTTGACCATCTCAAAAAATACCACGTCCATATGACCACAGGAGAATGCAAAATTATTTCACACTGAAATGTGTTACTCTTCAGTCCATGTGCTACTTTTCAGTCCATAAAAGAATGCTACAACACATACTGTTAGACACCATCTAAAGGGGATGAGAAGATAAAAATCACTCAGACCATGGGAAACAAACCTTGGGAGCTACAACCACTCCAGTGACACAAGTTTTTAGTGCCAGGAAGAAGAAAAACAAAAGCTGACAAGAAATGACAGAAATCTTACACTAACTCAGATCACTTCTGGAGTGGAGGCACAGTCAGTGGCCTTTACTAAACAACAACTGGTATTAGTGCCAGTAAATAAAGCCCCATCCCCATACATACCATCAATACGACATTTATCTTTCCAAATATATATACAGGGTCCAATAGCTTTCATCAGTGGACTGATCAGAGTCAAATGCAATGTTTGCAGCTTTCAAAGAGGCCCACATAAAGGATCACTTTGACAATGATATGGAACCCAGGTTATAGCCTATCCAGATGCAACAGAACAAACAGGCAACAAGGGGCAGGGGGAGAGAGTTGGCGTGTATGTCATAGTAGCTCATTTGCTCAGAATTACTAAACATCTCAAATGATGTAGTTGAAGTTTTGGCAGAAAAGATTGAAAACCAAACCTTGTCATTGTGGCTGTATTCAAGCCTCCTTATGCAACTTCCCAACAATTCTAGGAATCTTTTATTATTATTAATAACAATTCCAGACAGCGATCAATTTAAAAATTGACCACTGACTGGAAAATCTCTCAGCCCCTCACCAAACATCTTGCTGCTGGGTGATTTCCACTTAAGACATCTAAAATGGAGGAATGTAGCAAATAATGTTCTAGAAGAGATAACCCAGGACATAGCTCAGATGAAAATTCACACATGAGCTATTAAATCTCTGCAATAAATTCCCCTTAAACCAGTCAATAACAGAGCCAACAAGACTGGAAAATACACTTTACTTCATCTTCACTAATAATGATGATTTGATATGAAATGTTACAGTATCAAAGACAATACACTCAGATCACAACATAAGAAGTACAGACATGAATGCACAGGGCTCCTGACCAGAGAAAGGTGACTAGTTATGAAGGTGCCTTTGCTAAATTTAACTTCAATAACAAAAAACACAGTGGGATCAACCATGTCCTAAAAGAAACAATCTGGAAAGCTATCCTAAACATCACAGATTTGAACCTTTGCCTAAAAAGAATTAACTCTGTGGCACTTGAGGTATGCGAGACTCTCCCTATACAGGCGAAGGTAAAGAATCACAGAGCTGCTGAAAGGAGCCAGCATATCTGAAATACAAAAGAAGGCACTGGTCAGAGAAATAGCAAATATCGAACTTAAGCTTAAGGAATCATACAGGAGATAAACTCAGGAAGAACTAAAAGCCATAAATGAAATTGAAAGAAACTCAAAATATTTCTTTTCTTATGCTAAATCTGAGGCAAAAACAACATCCAGTATTAGGACCCTGCTTAGATGAGATGGGACTTACACAAATGATAGCAAGGAAATAAGTGAAATACTAAAGTACCAATATGACTGTTTAGTGAGCCATTAATTGAAGAGTCTAAAATCTAAATGAATTTTTCATGACCAAGACTGAAAATTTGGTCAATCCAAAAATCTCAAATATTATCCTAACACCACAGGACTTTGAAAAAGCAATAAATGACATGCCCATGCACTCTGCCCCAGGCCCAGACTCATGGAACTCCACGCTCATTAAGAACTGCAAGAAGCCCCTTTCACGTGCTTTCAGCATTCTATGGAGAGGGAGCATGGACACAGGGGTCATCCCACCGTCACTATAAACAACAGACACAGCCCCCCCCCCCTCCACAAAGGTGGCAGTAAAGAAATTGCAAAGAATAACAAACCAATAGCACTAACATCTCATTTCATAAAAATCTTTGAAAGGGTTCTAAGCAGCAAGATCTCTACCCACCTAGATACCAGTCAGTCACACAACCCAGGGCAACTTGGGTTTAGAGAAGGCCACTCCTGCCTGTCCCAACTACTGGACCACTATGACAAGGTTTTTAGATGCACTGGAGGACAAACAAAATGCAGATGTAGTATACACAGACTTTGCAAGAGCCTTCGACAAGTGCAACCATGGTCTAATAGCACACAAAATGTGTGATAAGGGAATGACAGGAAAAGTTGGTAGATAGATCTATAACTTCCTAATAAATAGAACACAAAGAGTAGTCAACAGAGTACAGTGATACCCCGAGTTTTGGCCTTAATTCGTTCCAGAAGGCTGTTTGAGCGCAGTTACTGAATAAGGAATAATGCAAATTAGATTAGTCCATTTCAGACCCACAAAATACACCTACAATAATACACTTACATAATTGTTAGAGTTGGGAGCTGTAGAAACCTCGGGGTACCACTGTATTACAGTGGACCCCCGCATAGCAACTTTAATCCGTGCAAGAGGGCTGATTGTTATGCGAAATGTTCAGTATGCGAATGAATTTTCCCCATAAGAAATAAAGGAAATCAAATTAATCCGTGCAAGACACCCAAAAGTATGAAAAAAAAAATTTTACCACATGAAATATACATTTTCCTACACACAAAGAGAAGGATACATGCACAATAGTAGAGTAGTACATGCACAATATATATTGTGCATGTACTACTCTACTAAATGAAGAATAAATGACACTTACCTTTATTGAAGATGCAGCAATGACTGATGAGACACTGTCCTGGGAGTGCCTTTTCCTCCTGAGTACTGTAGGTCCTGTTTGGCATTTTCTTCCAGAACAGGCCTTATCACACTGTGTATGCCACTACAATTCTTAAATCTCTCAAACCAACCTTTGCTGGCTTTAAATTCACCAATATGAGCACTAGTTCCAGGCATTTTTCCCTGTTCACCTGGGTGTTAGTCGACTGGTGTGGGTTGCATCCTGGGAGACAAGATTAAGGACCCCAATGGAAATAAGTTAGACAGTCTTCGATGACACTGACTTTTTTGGGTTATCCTGGGTGGCAAATCCTCTGGGGTTAATTGTTTCTTGGTATTCTCAATAAGCCACACCAACAACGGTGCTACAGCAGCAGCAGCAGCTGATGGTGGTACAGCAGCAGCAGACGATGCTACAGCAGCAGCAGACGATGCTACAGCAGCAGCAGACGATGCTACAGCAGCAGCAGACGATGCTACAGCAGCAGCAGACGATGCTACAGCAGCAGCAGACGAT